TGAAGAAGAAAGTTCTGCTTAACCGACAAAAGGAAGTGTCTGTCCTTTTGTCTTGAAAAAATTGACCCCCCTCATGTTATTTTACATTTTTAGTTAGATTTTAATTTCTGCATTTTAAATTTCTGTCTTTCAAAACTGTCTTTGCATATTTTTTCTTTTTGTAGTTCAGTATGTGAATCCCCCCTGAAAGTGATGATACAAAGAAAGTTGTTAGCAATCATGTGTTCTTAACATCTGTCTTTTGCCCTGTCCTTTGTGTATAGTCTTGATGCCAGAGCCTGCTAGTGCAGAGTTTTTCCTCTTGATGCTGGAGCATTTTAATGAGAGTTAGCTTTCTTTTGTTCTCTCTCTGGTTCATGTTTGCCTACCCATGCCCTAGCATCCCTCTAATAGTACTGGCCTCAGGTACCGCTTACCCTCGGAAGGAATTTCCATGGCTATCTATACAATGCAAACCCTTATATTTGTATAGCTAGCATGGACCTCTTCTATTAGATCCCCTTAGTTGTAGCATTAGCCCTTCACACTCATGTCTATATCTTGATAGCGAACATCCTTATACTTCTCAATTACTTTCGCTTTAAGTTTGGAGGTGTGCTGGTGATTTACATTCCAAATGTCCTTAGCTGCATTGAGGATAATGCAACCTTTTAAGTTTGTGGGAGTGAACTTCAAGTTCTTATACCTTTATAAGTATTTGTATACAACCATGAATCTTTCTAATCTTGTAATTCGGTCCCTTAAAAAAAATCATCATCATCAATAAAGGAGGGGCTAGTAGCCCACATCCAAAGCATAAAGAGGCTGCAGGATTAGGAAAGACTAGTAGCCCATGGTTAAAGAAGCCCAAGTTGGTAGTGCAAAGTTTAAAGGTTAAAGTTAGTGAAAGGGGCTTGAGAAAGAATCTCTAGGAGAAGTTAAGCTTGAGGTTGGGAAATAAAAGGAAGCTAGAGTTGGACAGAAAATAACGCCTTCCAAGGTGTGAACAAACTTAGGCTGTCTTCATTTCTTGGCTCCAGCTCAAGTACTTTAGCAGAGTATGTAAGTTCTAGCATTGCTTATCAAAGTGAAAGGTTGAGGCATARGACTGAATGTTTGAAGTGTAGGTTTCTAACATTCTTCTTTTGTGAGTAGAGGTAATATGTATGTTCTTGTTTGGGRACAAGCAAGATTTTAASTTTGGGGGTGTGGTAACTCTCCAAAAGAGAGTTATTCTAGTAATTATTTTGGTAATTTTTACAAAGAAATGTCAAACTGTGTCGGTTTTAGCTGTTACACATCATGAAAAATCTTATAAACCAAACTTCGAGCTAAAGTCTCAAGTTTTGAATGCTTTGACTAAAAATTGCGCTAAACTYTCTTATTTTTGGGCCTAAATGCACAGGTTTGCAAAAAGAAGAATAAGCATAAAGAAAGTGCAAAATCCAGAGAAGAGTGAGCAAGGCAATTTCAAGACAGGGCAGATAAAAGCTGGAGCGAAGTAGAGCTGGAGCATGGATTCACCGCGCAGTAATAGCTCAGACATAGGATTTACGGTGTCCGTACAACTTTAAGCTAGATGCCCTAAAAACAGAACCCGATATAAAAGAGGTATGTTGCCCTAGMCGTCACACATAGATCCCAAAAGAAGCACATTTTTAGAGCTGAAACGATAAGGAGGAGAATTCTCTCCATTTTTGGAGGTAGAAAGCTGACGACAGAAGGGATATTTCGTTGCAATTTCGAGCTATCATCTTCTTCTTCTTCGGTTTTTTCTGCTGTTTCCCTAAAATGGGTTGTCTCTGTCTTTTACCCATTGAATTTTCTTCTTCATTTATGAGCGAAACCYCATTTCGAGGGAGATTCACATGTTGTAACTGTTATGAACTATACCTCTAGCTGCTATGTTTTCATTGTTTAATGAAACTGTGTTTATTTCTTATATCCTATTGAACATTGTTGGCCGCTTTGTTCTACTTGCTAGCTTCTGAATTAACCCGRGAAGGCTTACGGTTTGCTGATTAGTACTTTTCTTTAGTGATTAGTACTTTTCTATAGTATTTATGGATTCTCAAGACTRAGGTTCCCCTAATTATGCCTAGAACTTATTTTTATTGCTTGGAAACTTAGCAATGGGAGTTGTGGGTATCCTTGTTTGGATGTCTCGGAAGGGAACCAAGTCGAGTTGGGCACTAACGAATGTTTGTAAGCTGAATGGTAGGTTGAGAAGTCTGTGAAAGCATGCTGAATCTCCCCCACTTTTTCATATCTGTTAACTTCCCCTTTTCGCATTCTGTKCTGTTTCTTCTTCTTGTTATCAGCTCTACGAAGTGTGTCTGCTGCTGAGATTTGTTTACTGCTTTGTTCATTTTATTTGTTTAAGTTATGACACCACATCAATATTTCTTTGTTTTACACTTTTGGTATCTGCAAACATCGTTTAAAATATTATCAAAGGTCCCTGTGGATTCGACCTCGTTTCGTGCTACAATCGACAATTTTGTGTATACTTACACGTGTTGTCAACACGGTTGTGTGGACGCAACAATATGCTAAGCCATGACTGTTAGTTCCCTTTAGGTACCGAAAAAGCCATTTCACTACTGTCCAATGAACCTTCCCTGGATTTGCCATAAATCTGCTCACAACACTCATACCATGAGCCAAATCTGGTCGACTGCAAACCATCGTGTACATAAAGCTCCTCACAACACTATTATATATCCTTCATATCTCTCTTTTCTTGCTTAGAACTTGGATACTGTCTCATAGATAATTTGAAGTGTGGCGCCAAAGGAGTTTTTACTACCTTTGAATATGTCATATTAAACTTGCTCAATAGCTTTGAAATGTACCCCTTCTGAGACAAAAACAAACGTTTGGCATTCCGATCTCTTGAAATTTCAATGCCCAATATCTCTTTTGTTGTCCCCAAGTCTTTCATTTCAAACTCTGAGCTTAACTCATGACACGCCCGTCCCAAAACACCTACTGGTCTTAGAACAAGTCGTGCTGACCATAGACCCCAGCTAGCAACAGAGTTTGTAGTCAAACTTCTTTCTAAATATGACCCAAACTTTGACTGACGAACTCAAAATGCACAACTAAGAAAAGCTTAAACTTTTACAAACCAATTTTCTTTACAAATCAAACTAAATGCATATTACACGATAATATGCACTTTTTGAACTAGTCGGAGTGGCAGAAACTTGTCAATTATCTCTTTGAAACTCATATACAACCTGGGGGGAAAACAAAGGATAAAGAGTGAGCTAGAAAGCTCAGTGAGTGGTAAGTTAATATGAAAATAATATAYGTAAAACTCTTTCCATAAACAACTGAAGTTTCAGCTCTTAAAACAAACTTCATAAAAATAAAGTAACAAACATTCTCATTTAAGTTTTATAAAACTCGAGCAACTAAAACTCAAAAAGGTTTTCTAAATAAATTTACAAAACATTCTCTTGAAACATAAACAATGTTAGGAAAACACTTTATAATGTCACTTTCTAAATACATGTAAAATATCATCTTTCAACCATAAAACAGGTTAAGAAAACTCAACACCACATATGTACTCATATTCTGTTYTTATTCTTGTCTACTGACGCAGAGTAATCTCAATATGCACAGCAGAATAATTCTATTTCTTGTCTACTGGCATAGAGTAATCTCAATACACACAGTAGAATAATTCTCTCAACGCGTGGGGTCAAATGGTCTCAAAGACTTTCTATTTTTGGGTATACTATAGAAACACATTTATATAGCATACGAGTAACGAAAAACGAAGATGAATAATAGAAAGGAAGCAAGATAGAATGTTTACAAAGAAGGATTTGATTCATTGAAATGAGAACTAGTTGCATGTATTTATAGGGAACTAAGAAACTGACCACTAAGCCACCACCTTTGAATTTCTCTTCAACTATGCCAAAAAAAACTCTCCTCAAACTGTATATTCACTCGCCACTACTTTCAATAAATATGGAATTAACTACCCACTACTACATTAACTTCTAAAACTATCAGTACTAATATGACAAGTTAATCATAAATTTGCACTAATTTTTTAACAATATGATGTTGGCTCCTGAATTATAGATTTTTTTTCTCTTGATAGGACCTATACTTTGTTAATTAATGCCAATGAAGAATATGACTTTTATGACTTTCATGATATTCATTGAATCATTTATCAGTGCCATTATTGATAATCTAGCCAATAGCCAATGTATTAATATGATTTGATGATGTATCTATGAGTAATCTTAATTAATCAAATTTCAATCATACTAATTAACTATGTTAAGTGCATGGAATGTTGACATCTTAATTATAGTTCAAAGATCAACAAATCAACTAGTCAAGATATATATCATTGATCAGAATGTTAAAAGATTCAAATCTCGACCCATTGAATTAAAAAAAAAATTGTATCAAATGCCAATAATTTATTAAGTATACCAAATGTCCATCATTCATTGGTTATATTTAAAGTAAAATATACCTGGTTATATAAGTTTAATGCAGATTAAAAGCTTCTATTCACTAAATCATATGTCACTTGTCACACTTAACAATAAAAAAAAAGTAAAAATATTTTTTTATTTCAATAAACAGTTTGGAGATTCCAACCTCCGTCATTTAAAATAATAATGAATTATTCTCCGTCGGTGAAGGTACAATTAACTAATTACTTTGTAGTTATGAGGTGGAGATTAAACCGTCGTTATTTGAAATGATAATAAATATTTTATTCACTAAAGTTCGGAGTAACAAATTATTCAATCATAAATGAATTTGTCACTTGCGTAATTGTCATTTCTATGGTATCGTGTCGAATCTTACCACATAAATGTAGCTGAAACTAAAAGGGAAAGCACAACTTTTGAGTGGGCCCAAGAGTATGGGTTTTTTTAATATATAATTACAAAAAGAAGTATGGGGTTAGTTTAAACGTCGGTGGGTAGATTGGTAGGTAGTGAATGTGGCTGAGAATCATTACACTTTTGTTAAGTTAGATGACATAGATTCATCTTTTATATCTTCATTTTTATCATATTATTGTTTTCGAGAAAAAAAAAATAAAGTGTCAGGACAACTACAGTGACGTTGAAAAGTAAAATTTTGATTAAATTTCAAATTTAATCTCTAAACTTTTAACATTCTCTTTAAATATTTTCTTTTCATGAAGCGTTTTGTAGTTAGGATTCAACCTCTAATATTGGATGATGTTAAAAGTGTGGAAAATTTAATTGTATCATATTTATAAATTAAAACTATTGATTTGAAAACCAATTCTAAATTCGAACTTTGCCGAGCAAACACTCCATGTTTGATCTTTTAATT